TTTTTTCTTTTTCAGAGGAACTCTAATTGTTTACACTTGAGAAAGGACACACACTTTCTTGGATAACCAGTAATAACAACACATGTGCCACTCATTTTATTGGAGGACTCTACAACGGGGGGTCTCAAACCTTAGCCTGAGTCCAAGTCACCTGGAAGGCTTATTAAAAACAGATTGTTGGATGCCACCCTAAGAGTTTTTGATTTAACAGATCTGGGAGGGGATCTGTATTTCTAACAAGTTCCAAGGTGATGCTCATGCTGCTGGTCCAGGGACCACACTTTGAGAACCACTACTCTACAGACAGCTTTGTAATCAAGAAATATGTCATGAGTATGTGTTGACTACAACGTACTTCATTCGATACAGACAGCCCAAAGAGGTATATCTGACTGCAAAAGTTTAAAACCTTTCAGTATTTCCTTTTCTTCCCCAAAGAGATAAGCAGCTTTAAATGGAGAACAGCAGATGCTAAGTGCCCAGAGGAGGAGGGCTTAGCAGCTTTGGGAGAAGGAGAGATGACCAGATGCTTCAAGCAGAAGGAGGCTTCACAGATAGCTTAGCACTTCTCTGGTCCTTGAGAGGAAGGCAGCACTTAGATAACCAAAGACGCGGGCACATGTGCAGTGCCTCAAAGCAAAGCCATCCCTGCTGCTTTCAACATCTGCTCTCCCTTCTGTGGGGGTCTTAGCATGCAGGAAGGAATTATGGCTCACTGTCTTCCTGGGGCTAAGGACTCAGCTGCACCACCCAGAAGAGCCACTCTCAACTGGCCACAGGACCAGAAGAGAATTGCTCTTCCTCACTCTCCAACTGGAGGCAAGGCCAGATCCTGAAATGTTGCAGTGCCCCCGACTGCTGACACCTTAACTGGTGGAGGAGGCAGAGGACAGATCCCTCTGAAGAGCACATGGAGAGGTCCCAGGGAGGGCACATTCCTGTTGGCGGCAGGAGTTGCGAATCAGAAAAGTCAGAGGCCCAGGGACCCAGGCTTGTACCTTAAGGACATAAAAGAACCAGATAAGCTTCAAGGGGAGGGTTGGAAGAGGTCAAGGAGTGACGGATCACAGGAGAATCCAACCCCTTCTCCTATCCCAGGTATTGCACTGGGTCCTAGGGATAGAGGGATGCTTAAGGCATCATGGTCCTTGCCCTTGAAATGTGACTCTCTAATGAGGAAGACAGAGCAGGACAAAGATAAATTATGAAGCCAAGATGACAAGTACCATGACAGAAATACATACACAATGCTATGCAAATGCAGGACACAGCCCAGATCACTCTGGGGATCAAGGAAAGGTTTACTTAAGAGGAAGAGTGACCTTTGGGCTGGGTCACCAAGCATCTTGCCAGGAGAAAAAGAAGCTATTCCAGGCAGAAGGAACAGCAGGTGCAAAGGCACAGAGCAGCAAGCAGGAAGGCGTGGACTCAGCGCCAGCAGGGGCGTGCGTGTGCGCATGCACGGAGCCCCTGGGTGCGAGTATACGAGAAAAGGCGGCGCCACCAGTCCGGGGCTGACAGTATTCCACACGGAGGAGCCGGTTATAACCTTGGGGTGACTGAGAGCCACTGAATTATTTTAAACGCTTAAGTGACATGGCCAGGTTCTTCTTTAAAATATTGTCACTGCAGAGCAGAAGGCAAGTGAAGAGAGTCAAGGAAGAATGGCCACCCAGGTGGAGCAAGGCCGAGGGCGGTGCGGGGGAGGGGCTAGACTATGAAGTGGTGGTCTTCATTCAGTCCTCAGTGTGGTGGCGGGGACAGTGGCGGTGGGCGGTGGGGCGCGAGCCCCGTCACTGAAGCCAGAACCCACCGAGGTGGATGGCAGTCGTGCAAGTGACTGCGGGGTGTCGCCCGTTCTCTTTTCCCTGCCTGTACTCCTCGGACTCGATGTTCACCATATGGTTTTATTCTAAGTACGGATGGCGCTTTTTGAAAGGAAAATCTCCTTGCTATTTATTGTAGCCATGAAAAATAAATCATAAGGATCCTCGTGGCAGATCCTTAGCATTTGTATTACTTTTGCTCAGCCTAAGTGCTCGGAGCACACCATGACTTACAGGAGCGAAAATAGTGTCTGAGTGGAAGCTGGCGGCAGGTTTAATCATTATCATCTGGGAAGTAACAGCCTTTGTGACTTAGTTGATTAACACAGTACCAGGTTTCTTTCATTGAAGTGGTTCTTTCGTTTTTAAAAATTATAAAACAAAGAATCTTGGATTGGGAAGGTGTAACTAAAAAAAGAAAAAACTTTTTTTTTTTCAGTAGTTCAGCATCTTTATTAGGCACAGCAGGGCAGACTGGGTAGATTGTACTGGCTGTCCAAGCATCCCGCCCCCTGCAGGGCTGAGTCTCGGGCCTGGTCTTCCTGGGCTGCAAGGAGA